CAGGCTGGGCCTGACTCCCAGGGCCATGGCCATGCCTTGGCAACTGCCCTACACTCTGCAGTCATACTGTTTGTGCACAACATGGAGGCTGGCGGCCAATAACACCTGGCCTGGAGGAAGTTTCTTCTGTACACAGCCAGATTGGCTCTCTAGGCCCAAGGATCAGGAGGGATCCAGAGGGCCTGACTTTACCCTCACCCTCTCGGTCACTGTCCTCCACAAAGCCCATCACTCAGTGGTGGACTGCCTACAGTGGTCCAGAAGTCTGAACCTCTGTCTGTCCCCCAGAATGTTGCTGATCTCACTGCAGGGGACCCTGATTCTGAAGATTTCCTTTTGTGTTCCTTAGACAAACAAACGAAATGGTCCCAAACCTATTTTTTTTTTTTAGAGATGGGGTCTTACTATGTGGCCCAGGCAGGTCTTGAACTCCTGGCCTCAAGAGATCCTCCTGCCTCAGCCTCCCGAATAGCTGGGACTACAGGCATCAGCCACAGTGCTGGCCCAAACCTATTTTTTGAAACAAAGCCAAGAGTATGTCTGAACTTCCCATCATTCCAAGTCTGCTATTAATATTTGTCGATGCGCATGCCCAGGGGATGCAGTGGAAGGTGGGGCTGGATGAGGATTTGAGATTAATCTGGGGAACATGAATTTCCAAGAGACTAGAAGGCTTTCAGCTATTATTCCATGTGTGTAGGAGGAAGCACTGATGGTTTCTGATGACTGACAGCAGAGCACAGGATGAATGGGAATGGGCGAAGAATGAAGGCAGGGAAGTCAAGGAGAAGGTGATTCCTTCAACCACCCTTCATTCAATCCATCACTCTTTTATTCTTTCTTTCATCAAGATATCAAGTGAACATCTGTTAAATACCAGATACTGTTCTAGGCTCACTGGGGAACAGAACAAAGTCCCTACCCTGGTGGAGCTTACATTCTAGTAGGGGGATACAGATAATAAACAACAAATACAATAAATAAGTCAGTTGCAGAGACAATTACAATATGTCCAGTGAAAATTAGAGGAGGATAAGGTGAATTTTGAGTGCCACTGGAGAGAGGGTATTGTATTTTGAAATATATTGCTCAGGGGAGGCCTCATTGAGAAGGCGAAATTTGAGCAAAGGATTGAAGGAGGTAGGGAATTAGTTACATGGCTATCTAGAGGAAGGACATTCCAGGTGGGGCAACTGCCTGGGCAAAGACTCTGAAGTGGGAGCATGTCTGGCACATTCAAGGGATAAGGAGGCTAATATGTCAGAAGTGGAGTGAACTGGGTGGAAGGGAGTAGGAGATGAAGTCCAGGGGTAATGAGTGCCAGATGAAGTAGACTTCTAGGCTATTATAAGAGTTCTTCCCTAAGTCAGAGTTTCTCAACGTTCGCACTATTGACATTTTTGACCAGATGATTCTTGGTTGTTAGGGAGCTATCCTGTGCATTTTAGGGTGTTTAGCAGCATCCCTACTGGCTGGCATCCATAAGATGCTAGTAGCACCCTATATAAGAGCTGTGATAACAAAAAATGTCTCCAGACATTGCTAGCAGTCTTTTGAGGGAGAAGGGGTAGGGTTGCCCCAGGTTGAGAACCACTGCTTAAAGTGCAATGGGGAGACAATGGGGATTTTTGAGCAGAGGATTTAACAATCTGATTTATATTTTTAAATCATCACTCAACTTGTCCTATTGAAAAATCACCTTGAGGAGTATAGAGGGGTTGGGACAGGAAAGAAGTAGGCAGATCCTTCAGGATAATCCAGGGACTTGAACTAAAGATGTCACAGTGGAGGTGGTAAAAAGTGGTTGGATTTGGATATCTTGGAGATACAGCCAGTAAGAAGTGAAAGGAGTTAAGAATTACTGTTAGATTCTTGGCCTAAGCAAGCAGATGAGTAGAGTTGCCATGAACTGAGATAGGGAAGACAGTGGGTAAAACAGGTTTTTAGGTGGGAAATCAGTAGCTCACTTTTGGCCATGTGGAATTTGAAATGAAATCCAATAATCTAAGTGAGACAATATGAATCACTGAACTGGGCAGGGACAGTAGAAATAGGGTATTTTGTCTTCAAGAAATAGCCATTTTTTAAAAGAGACAGCCATTTTGATTTAAAAAAAAATAGGGTTTGGCACTCAACCAAAGAAGTAAAAAAGAAGAAGTGGAAGAAGGCCTCATGATTTTATGGTTGGAGTGATACTGGTGGTGGAATGAGGATGAATCCCTGAACAGAGAAACAGAACCCGGCACGCGAAACAGGAAGGGGGAAGATGGAGGTCTTACTGCTAATCATATTGGATGTGAGGTGCCAATGGGACAGCCCAGAGAAACTGTCTAGGAGGAAAAGGTGGAAATGTAGCTCTGGTGCTCAGGAGCAGTCAGGAAGCTAGAGACAGAAAGAAAATTCCCTCCCCCCAGGAGTTACAGGTGTATGGAGGGAGGCTGACCAAAAGGAGCAATCAGGATGCCAAGAGACAGAGAAGGAACAGTCAAAGGCAATCAAGGAAGGAAGGAGCATGGAAAGTGAGGTGAGGAGGGTTCCAGGAAAATTCGAATAAATGGAAACTCACTTTAGCTAAGGCTAGGTTATGCTATCTCTAACAATACATGCGGTTATTGATGCTCAGGCCTAAGGCCAATTCCCTCTGTTAAATTAAAAGTAATAATTTGTTAAGAGTTGGTTATTTAAACTTACTGAACTCACAAAATCCAAGCTTGTGAAACCAAAAATAATGTTTAACCATCAAACACAGCACACAATGATGAACTACTACATTACTGTATTTCCTGGGGAATCTGTCCATACTTAAGTTTTCCATAGAGATGGGTCCATCGGCTCCATGGGCCAAAGTGGAGCTTTCTGTGCTATATGTCCTTTGCTCTCACTGATTATTTATGTATATCCTTGGATTTTACTAACATGCCCCTTATCTGCTCTTTTGCAGACTTAGAAATGTGTGGAAAAAGAAAAGATTCTGAAAACCCTTAATGTATCATTCATAAATCACATATTTATTAAATGACAAGCAGTTTGAACTCTGTCTGATTAAGCCATTTATATTTATGTGAAATAGACTGCAAAAAAATGTACTTTGACCAAAGGTTACAATTACATTGAAAAAAATTCTTTGATTCTCAACAGATTGACCCTTTGTTTTCTCTGATTTCAAAAGGAAACAAGACTTTTGCAATTCCCTGAAATCAAAATTAGAGGTTAGGTTGCCATATATTGACTGAGAAAGCTTAGCTTCCTCCTGTCACCCACTTCTTCCCTGGGAGCATGATCCCAATCTGAGGTAGCCAAAGGTTTCAAAATTTATTTCTAATAACTGCTCTGTGTGCTGCAACTAATCACCCAGTGTGGCCAATGAGTTGAAATGCATTTTCTCCTTTCCACCAGATTTTCAAAACATTCATATTCATTCATTCCCTCACAATTCACTCAACTTTTATTTCCTTCCAACTATGAGTGGTTGCAGCCTTTTGCCTGGCTCCAAGGAGAACAGGGCAGGTATGTACAAGCACAAAGAATGGTGCCCTTGCTGCTTTGGGTCTTTCAGGTACTGAGGTAAAAAAATAACTGAGTAAAAGTAGAAAGTCCTAGAAAGCTGAAAGGTTTTCCATTTCCAACATATCTGAGAACAGTGGTCACTTTAAGAGATGTACAGGGACAGCTCAAGGGTAGGGTAGGCAGCTTCTCTAGCCAGAGAAATGGGGCTTCTCCTCTCCATATTCTAGCAAGGCTTTTTTTTTTTTTTGAGACAGAGTCTCACTGTGTTGCCCGGGCTAGAGTGCCGTGGCGTCAGCCTAGCTCACAGCAACCTCAGACTCCTGGGCTCAAGCGATCCTTCTGCCTCAGCCTCCCGAGTAGCTGGGACTACAGGCATGCGCCACCATGCCCAGCTAATTTTTTCTATATATATTTTTAGTTGTCCAATTAATTTCTTTCTATTTTTAGTAGAGACGGGGTCTCGCTCTTGCTCAGGCTGGTCTCAAACTCCTGACCTAGAGCGATTCTCCTGCCTCGGCCTCCGAGAGTGCTAGGATTACAGGCCTGAGTCACCAAGCCCAGCCTCCAGCAAGGCTTTTAAACAGCTGAGTGAAGATAGGCCAGATTACCAGTAAAGGAAGAGGGAAGCAGAAAGCAATGTGGTTTTCAGTGGCTGAGAGAACAGGTTCTAGCCGAGGGAAGGTGCAACATTAACTCCCCCTATTTCTCAAACTTTCCCAGTGAAAATACACGGGAGGGGAGGGCACTGACATTAATATTAACGAGTTGCCACCAGCCTCAGGGCAGAAGCATCTAACAATAAATGCTACAAAGAATCACAGCCATCCACATTGTATTGGAGGCTCCTCTCTTCCAGCTTTAGGGCGGAGCACAAAACAACAATGCCAGAAGAAGGAATTGCGAAGTGAAGGCTCACATTTGTCAACATGGCACAGTTATGATGCTGATCCCCTGCCCTGCGAGTGGCTGTGAGTCTGTCCACAGCCCCGGGCGTAGTTAGTGGGGTGGTGAGAGATACAATGTAGTTCCGAGGGAGTTCCAGTTTACCTCACCTCGGTTTCTGAAACTACAACCTTAGGTTTGTAGCCCTTACCCCCGTCTCCAGCTATTTCACAGCAGGCCGGACTTTCTTGAGTTATTTACATTCAACCAACCCTGCCAACACCCCCTCCCAAGGAACTGCCCTCCCGCCCCCCGACAAACTGTCTGGAACAGCTGTTCTCCCGTCAAGTGCAAAGAACCCTAAAGGAGGTGCATCCGTCTAATGACTCCCATAGTGGAGGAATAGGGGTGGGGTGGGGGAGGCCAATGCCCCATTAGGGCCCCGCCCAGTCCTCCGGGGCGCCCCGCAGGGACCCGGGCAGTACTGGCGGAACTAACAGCTAGCTGTCCGGGCTCCAGGACCCGGGACGGCGGGTCTTGGGAGGACCCGGACTCTCTGCGTCGGCCCACCCCTGCTGTCGCCCCCACCCCATTCGGCCGCTGGTCCTTACCTGAGAGTTTCCCCAGATCACAAACCAGCCGCTAGCTCGCCTCTCTGGACCCGCTGCCCACGCGCCCGGCCATCGTAGCCCCGCCCCTTCACGCCCCGCCCCACAGCCCAGACCACGCCCTCGTTTGAGGCCACGCCCCCACCTGGCATCTGCGCCCCGCTGCGGCCGTACGTACCGCCCTGGTCACGCCCCACAGCACCGCACCAGCCTCTGCCCTCCATCCTGGCCACACCCCTTTCGCCACAATCACGCCCCTTCCATCTAGGCCTCGCCCCTTTCTCCGTCCTAGCCACGCCTTTGCGCTCCGCCTCCGCTCCCCCCTCCCGCCTGGGCCACACCTCTGAGCTCAGCTATGGTCCCGCCGCCGCTCCTTCCCCGGTCCAACTCCCTCTTTGTCCCCGCGCCCACAGTTGGCGGCATCTGTGGAGACTGCAGGCTTAAGAGCCTCATCTAAAAATTACTTTCCTCAGGTTTCTCCCATTTCTAAACACCACGACTTGATGTGCTGAGAACAGTTAGTAGGGGAACAAACACTGGACGTGTCCTTTTCCCGCTAGTTTTCATGTCCAATTTACCCCAGTTTCTTCGAGCTAGTTTTTGTGTCCTCTGAACTCGAGCTGTGGACCCGTGTTCCTTCCAGCCAGTTTTCATACCCTCTAAACCAGAACTGTGCATGTGCTCCTTCTAGCCCCTTAGCCGACCTGAAAAGCTAGGCTGATGAGTGGAGTAAACAGAATCCCTCCACTTACTGATGCCTCCTCTGGATGACATTTCCTGGGCACCAAATGCCCTCTTGCTGTCTAAGGCCTGTCGCGACATCGCCCCCCACTTAGCCTGAAACTCCGGTTGCAGTCTGTGCTCTGAGATTGCTCTTGCTGTCCTTGTTCCTGCCGTTCACAACTCTGGCTGCACGTGAAAAATGCGAAGAGGTTATAACCAGCTTTTTTTCCCCCTTTACATAAATCTCTGGCCCATTCATTTCAGTCACATTTATTGAGTATATGCTCTTCTGACAAATAAAACAAACCTCAAGGAACTTACAGTCTGAAGTTGCCCCAACCTGGGTTTGGATGTGACAAGAAGTGATGAGAAAGTTAGGGAAGATATGGTAAGGGTGGAAAAGTATTTGGTAATCACAGGTCTTCTTGATCCCATTAGTAGAAATATTAGGGTAGCGAACATAGGAAGCCACTTCTATAGTATTTAGTACACTTCTTTACACAATACATTCTCAATAAATCTTGACTGAATATCTACCCTTTCCTCACGTATAGAAAGATATAATTTCCTCCCTTTGCAGCAGTAAAATTTGCTACTTATATTTGCTACTTATGTTGCTACTTATATTATTTCTTTGTACACAAACGATAAAGATTTTATGATTACATATTAGTTCTTTTTTCTTCTCTTCCCACCCTCGATTCCATTTCTGGCTCGAAGACAGAATATTTAAAATGTTGCGCTAGAAAGAACACAGAGAAAAGAACAAGTTTTAACAGAACAATTTTATTAAGCTCCCCTGACCCTGAGAATGCTGCCTCATTTATAAAATGTTTCAACTGTCAGTCATTTTTTTTTTGCCTGAAAAATGAGCTCAAAGAAATTGGTCCAAATTCAGCCTGTAGAAATTACTGAGTTAATTTTTATGCAAGTAGTTCTACCTCACTTTCTTCCCCAAATGATTTGCGGCAGCACTTGTCACATGCAGAGGCCAAATATTAGGCACTAGTGCAAGATTGTGAGTGAAATGCACAGGGATCCTGGCAGTGTCCCTGCATTTTAGTTAAAGGTGCTTTCAAACAGCCCCACTGTAATAAACGGGAGGATGTTGTGGAAAGTGAGGGCCTACAGGACCCTAATGGTCGTGTAAGGAGGAGAGAGGTGGCTTCCTCCCGAAACAGCATTTGTGGGCATCAACCCACTCGTCCCAAGAGGAAGGTACTGCAAACATGTAGACTCTTCTCATAAAAAATTTTCCACCTTGTTACTCAATACTAACACTTAAATATTCACATAACAAGGGGATATTTAGAGCATAAAATCTAAGTACAAAATTTATATTAAAAATTGAAGCAAGATAGATCTTTCCCACCAGCCTTAAGCAAAGAAAATGAAATTTTGATTAGGCAAATCAGATAAAGTAGATGAGAGAGGGTAAAGTCAATCAGTTATAGTAACAATGGCATTCATTGAAATTTGATTGGAAACAGGTATCATAGGTTTGATTATTCTACTTTCTCATTAGCCATCTTAAGAAGATAAAGGAGCTTTTTGTGATGGTAAATTTAGAATAGAGAACAAATGATAAATTAAAAGCTTATAATATATATTATATATATTAGACTGATCTCCCACTTTAACCAGTATCCCATGAGTTTATTAAATGATAATCTTTAGAGAAACATCATTTAGGCCTTTAACTAGCAATTTCTTCCTTTTTATTAGTTGGGTTAACAGAAATAACCCCAAATAAAGAGAATGGGAGTTAATAAAAGGAAAGAAAAAGAGAGGAAATTTGTAAATTGATAAGTTAGGCTGACGGTGATAATATTGGAGCAAGCTTCATACGAATATACCAAAATGCTGTGCTAACCATAGAGGAAAAGAGAGTTTTAAAAGAGAGAAGACTCAAGTCAAAGTAAAACTTCAGGCCGGCCATGGTGGCTCGCGCCTGTAATCCTAGCACTCTGGGAGGCCGAGGCAGAAGGATCACTTGAGCTCAGGAGTTGGAGACCAGCTTGAGCAAGAGCGAGACTCCATCTCTAACTAAACATAGAAAAATTAGCCCGGCATGGTGGCACATGCTTGTAGTCCCAGCTACTCGGAAGGCTGAGACAGGATGAGCAGTGTAAAAGGTTAAAAGCAAACTCTTTGCATCCTTTTCAATGTAAGCCAAACATGTCCAAGTTGAGAACTCTTCAAGGTAGACTGTGCAGTCCTGAGATGAGAAGCTTCTATGCAGCAGTCAAGACTGAACTTGATCATTGTCACCTAAGCAGGTAGAAAGCTCACTAAGCAGAGAAAACTCACTACACCTACAGTTAGGAAGTTTTTCTCAGAATATGACTTGTTTATTTTTGCATGTGAACAATAAAAGTAGTGATCCCAATTAACCATGGTGTCAGCACCAAATATACCAGATCCTAAGTTGTTATTTCTAACAATTTATTTGGGAAACTAGGAAGGAATACATTGTCCATTATCCAAAACAATCTACACAATGAAAGTGGCACCATTAGGTTAAAACAGAGTTTCTCCACCTCAGCACTATTGACATTTGGGGCTGGATAACTCTTTGTCATGGGTGCTGTCCTATGCATTGCAGGATGTTTGGCAGCTTCCCTGGTCTCTACCCACTAGATGCCAGTAGTACCCCCATCCCTGCCCACTGTAGTTGTGACAACCAAAATGTCTCCAGACATTGCCAAATGTTCTCTGGGGGGAAAAATTGCCCCTGATTGAGATACACTGGGTTAAAATAGGTTTGCAAATGAGGCAAAAATCTTTTATCTCCATGTGTATCTTAACCTGATGATAGCTTAAAGAGAATAGAACCATTTCTTTACCTCTTAATTATTCAGAAAATATTGGGCTAATTATTATAAACCTCTCGAAGTTGTTTATTCTGTAGACATACCAATTTCATTCAAATTAAACTATGAAGGGTCACATTTCATTAAAAATCTACAACATCTATTCTGGAAAATTACTGAGTAGTGCTAAATAATTTAGATGCTAGTTTTAAAAGTGCAAGGTTTTTAATCTTATAAAAGGTTTCCATATTCAGCCATTAAAGGTTTTATTTGATTTCTTTTAATGTGTCACAGCCAGATACAGTTCCTAAAACCCAATAAAAATTTACAGAGTAATGTCACATTTGAACTGGTTTCGTGGTTTACTGTACTACTTACAGGTGCTATATGTTTACTAAATTCCTGTTTGTGACAATCAAACAGAATAATCGGGGTAAAAATTTAAAAGGAACATCCACCTTCTCTACCTCGTGCTTTATTGCAGGTAAATGGAGCCTACATATCCCCATATGCTTTTATGACTCTGATGAACTTTAAAAGGCACCTTGCATGAATCAAAAGAACAACACATGTGTTTTCTTTTCATGTGGTCTTGTATTTTATTTACCCCAGAGCAGTAGATCAATAGCTATGTGCTCAGAAACTGCTTTTCAATAGTGTCGCGGAGTATAAAAAACACAAAGAAATCATTTTCTTTTTTCTGTCTCAGGAGACTCAGTGCCCTTTTGTGTTGCTCATGGCAACAGTAATCTGAACTTTTTATCTACATACTCTAAACTCTGAACATTTGGAAGTAAATAGTAACATATTCACAATGATTGAAACTGCTTTATTTGCTGTCATTACCATGGTTACTAATAAGTTATTAAGCTCCCCATATGTGAAACTGCTGCAATGAGCAGTTTATGAAGCAAGTTACACGGATATAAATCCTCTGGAAGTTTATTACTTAAAACTTGCACATCAAGACAAACACTAAATTTGTGCAAGATTTTGAAAAGTGTAAGAAAATAAAGATAGTATGTTGAGAGGCAAGAACCCTTGTATCTAGTTCTATTTTCTATTTTCTTGACATATCCATCAAGCTATTCAACAGTGAATTCATTTTCAGTACCTTTTCTTTTCTTTCCTTTTTTGAGACAGAGTCTCGCTCTGTTGCCCCAGCTAGAGTGCAGTGGCCTCATCATGGCTCACTGCAACCTCAAACTCCTGGCCTCAAGTGATCCTCCTGCCTCAGCCTCCCGAGCAGCCAGGACTACAGGAGTGCGCCATGACACCCGGCTAATTTTTTCTCCCTTTTTTTTTAGTGGAGATGGGGTCTCACTCTTGCTGAGGCTTGTCTTGAACTCCTGAGCTCAAGCAATCCTCCTGCCTCAGCCTCACGGAGTGCTAGGATTTAGGATTACAGGCGTGAGCCACTGTGCCCGGCCTCATTTTCAGCACCTTCTATATGACATGAAACTTACGGTGTCTTCATATTTGAAAAGTTGTTGGCAGTGTCTCATATTTGTTATTTCAGCTTTTGTCTTTTTATTCACCTGACGGG